CTTGAAGCCAGTTACCGTACGGGAAATGGGTCAGAACTTGTCAATACACTTGAATTCTAACAAAAGATTAGTTATGGAGAAGATACAAGTAGAATTGAATACGGACTTATCGGATTTAAAACCAGAGCCTTGTAAGTATATGTTTATTTCCGTTTATGGAGATACTTATTTTATAATACTTAAAATTGTTTCTCTAACATATTTAGTATTATACGGTCTGTAGATGTACCGCAACCTGTTAACGAAGAACATATGGGCCTCGTAATGTCGTTGTTTCAAAAGAACGATGACAGCAATCAAAAGTTTTTAGTTACGCTTAATGGATATAATAATAATTTAATGAAAGAAAAATCCACATCTGACGAGGACGAACGATTAGAAATGGAGGTAATTGTTAATAAATTTTGTATTGTGAGGCTATATCATACGAATCTAATTGATATTGATATTGATATTGATATTGAACAGGTGAACGAGGATGACGAGCTTGCACTTTCAACGATCCAAAACGACGTATATATCCAGAATGACTCGGAAACGTTAATTTTTCAAGAAATAGAAATGGAAAGCGAAGGTAATATAAGTGTAAAAGACAGAACGGAAGAAAATAACGAGAACTGTAACACGGAGAATGTAGAAAAAGCTGAAGAGGTACCAAAGAAGCGGAGGAAATTAAGCCCAATTGTTTATAACAGATCGCATTCACCGAGCCCTGCAGACTTAAAAACTAGCACATTAGTGGCAAATCCATTGATAACTAAACGTAAATACAAGAATATTCACGTTAATTCAGTTTCCGAGGGTTTTCATAGATTGTAACAATATTTTATTGTCTTTCAGGTCTAGAGAAGAAATCAATAACAGAAAGCACGGTGACGGTAATAGATAAATCAAAAGAAAAGTGTAGATACTGGCCGAATTGTACATTAGGAAATAAGTGTGCATTTCTTCATCCAATCGTTATGTGCAGGTTACTATTATTCATTGAATTTCTCTCCAACACTTATTGTTATTTACAAAAAATCAAAATCAATTCTAATTAATCGGTTTCATTTCAGTGCTTTCCCGGCTTGTAAATTTGGAGACAAGTGCGCTTACAAACATCCGAAATGCAAATTTGGCTTGTCTTGCACGAAACTGGGATGCGTGTTCTCTCATCCCGCCCAACAGTGCAAGTATCATCCATTCTGCACCAAACCAGGATGCCCGTATTCGCATCCGATGCCGGCGACCGCGGAGACGTCCACTCAAAGAGCGAAATTCACATGGCGCAGACATGATTAAGTCTCACCGTTGTACAAACCGTGTACAAATTCCCTTTTCTTTTAGCGATAGATATATACTCGTATTGGCAAGGATACTATTACGGCTTGACACGTGTGACGACTAGAGCGATAGTATATTAATAGATTAATACTGCCGATTATATCACTTTAGGTTGAATAGGTTTTGCATTATATATAAATAAATTTATTTGTACTCGATCTTACACGTTTGTAGATTTATAGTTTTAGTTACTCCACGTACGTACTTGTACATTAAGAATTATAGTAGAGTAACTTGTTTATCTCTAAGATTATCAAACGTATTCTCATTAATTTCTGTATTGTTAACTATAGTATTCTTGCCGATAAATTTATAAATAACATTCTAATTTGTACAAAAGACCATGAATTTCGAATGTAATTTCATCGTTCTCTTTTTATTTAATTCGTATTATTATATAATACTGCGTTGATTCGCAAAGCAGCGATTTGCACTTGTTGAGTACTACGATTGAAATAAAAGAGTAATGTAGCGTTATTAATTCCGTGTCTACGGATACCGGACACTTTCTGACTTTATCTCGTACTATTTCGCCATCCAGTCGAATGGATCGCATATCGTCGATTCGTTTATTCGTAGTGATAAGCATCGATTAAACATTATATTAAGTCGATTATAATATATGTATATTACATACATAATTGTTAAATGAAACGTGCTTTTTTGTCAATTCTTCTCGCCTACTTCAATTGAAGACTCCTTCTCTGTGTTTGTGCCAGGCAAAGCTTTGTCTTCGAATATTGCTCTATTTATATATAATCGATGGCTGTGCAATGTATGATCATCGTAATATAATTTCACGTTTGTTTCGTATAATTTATAACTTTTATTATCGCGCATCGTAGAAAAGGAAACTGGAAATCACGCTTTCAACACATTATTATTATTCGTTCATACACCATAAGAAATCGAACGCGCTAATTAGTCTGTTAGTTATTATGAAATTATGAGTCTTGTATAAACTACACACATATACTACATAGAAATATAATTACATCTGTAGATATCAGCTGATTTTATCTTCCCTCAAATGCCTCCTTTTATTATTAGTTACTATTAATTTCGATCCTTGCGCATTTCAATAAATTACATCTCGATTGTTTCCGGTTTTAATATTCGTAGGTCATAAATTTAACATTTTGTTTTTAGGTTTGTTTGATTATTTTAAGGAACGTTTTTTGAACCTTTTCCGTCATTTTTAAAATCTTTAAGTTAAAATACTTTTACACCTTCGATCTCTTCCGGGGTCCCATGCGGCCGCTTAGTCCATTTATCGCTTAATCCGCCCCTTCGCACTTGCGTATGTATACCTGTATTCTCAAACTGATAGATCTCTTACCAGTCTTACCTGTATAAGAAAAGTTGACTGGAAATTCGGTCTATTTCTACCTGAGTATCATTCCCCCTCTTCTCCCTGGGACGATGACGTTACCGCTTCCCTCGACTGGCATTATGAACAGAGCGGGCAGTCGCGTTGTAAAACAATGAGACATTGAGCAGTAAAAGCTAACAATAAGAGCCGGATTAAACGGCTGCCTTAAAAATACTTACTTCTAAAGTTTTATTAAGGTTACAGAATTCTGACTCGGAAATTATATTACCGTAGCAAAAAGGTAGTCGTTTCATACGACCCATAGGGATTTCGAATTAAGAAAGCGTACAATAGCGAACAAGATGATTCATGAATCCTCCTTAAAAACACGAGACAAAGCGACCACTGAAAATAGTGAAGTCGAAATGAAAATGTTGATAATAAAGAACGAATAGTAATTATAGGTGGTCCTGTCATAATATGTATCCGAACTTTCTACAATTGTCACAGTCTTGGGATAAAACGTAACTTGGAAAAACAAGGTGATTCATAAATCATTTCCCGTTTGTGCGTCGACGTTTTTCCGCGTCTTCGAAATTATATGAAAATAAAGCGTTCGAATCGTAAACTTTCTCCATTCTTTTGATGTATCCGAAAAAAGAAAAATGCCAGGCGAAGCGATTATGAAAAGATCTTCTTCAATTTGTGTTTCGATGACGAGCGTAAGTTGCTTGATCGATTAATTAAGAAAGAAACGTAAAGATAGCGCGTTCTATGAGAAAATTTCAGAAAATACCCCGTCGCCGCGTGGATATATCCTCCGTGCTTATCTTATCTGACGAATTGACACGATGCCTCTCGTCACAGTTCGCCGTAGTTCTGTCCAGTTCTCTTCTTAAGCTCGTGGCCAGTTGAACGTATCACGTGCAACTGCATTCGAGTTTTATTGCACATCGGTTTACATTAATTTCGTATTTCTCATCAGTGCCACTCTAAAAGAGTCTTCAGTTCCGATCGTCCTTGTCATTCGGAAATAATTTTTTGCTGAACGTACATGTATACGTGCCTTCTTAAATGAAGTGCTATGCTTCGCTCATGATTGAAGAAATTGTAAGTATTTGATAATGTACGATATTCATATATTCACGAATATTTCGTCATTTTGATCACGATGTTTTTATGCGAAATATGTTTATGTAAAAATCTAAAATCTTCGACATTCGCATTTCTTTGGAATGCTTATATAAAAACTTCTTTCATGTTTTGCAACATTCATCACACAATTCTTATAGAGTTTCTCACTCTGGTTTACATCAATATACATATTGTGCAAAGTCTCCTCTATCTTTTCGTTCAAAAATCAACTTCCTCGCTTTCTTAGTTTTCTTGTAATACCTCATTTTTCCTGAAAATCATGCATTTTTACAAAAACAAAGGTTTTTTTTTTTAGAAACGGTACCTGATAGAGTAATTTTATTTCCAGATTCGTATTAGGCATGAGAAACTTCATAAGAATCATGTGATGGATATTGCAAAATTCTTTTCTGTTATCCGTTCCCTTAAAAACTTTCTATATTTTTGTGGAAATGATACGAGACGCGTGGGGGGAGACAGCATGATAATGAAAGTGGGAAAAGGGGCAGGATTTAGTTTTTCACCAATTGGGGAAGGTACTTCTACGCGAAAGAGGTGGAAAGCGTTTAGCAATAGAGGTATACGATTCGTACCTTCGGTAATTGTAAGGGTCCTCTAATCCGCGTAGGTAGTAGGAGGGAGAATCTTGGCTGATTTGCCGAGGGTTGCTTAGACACTAGCGATCTTGTTCATTCCGAGAGTTATTACTGACTTATTAACTTCGTACGTTGTGAAAAATAGATACGTGTCTGCAATGGGTGACAGAGTAATGGTAAAGAAAGTTCAAGTTAAATTTTAAAAGCATATCAGGGCCTAGGATAATATCTAAGCGCGTCAAAACGATTTGAGTGAGATTCGATTAACGCGTTTAATACTGTGAATTTTATATTGAAGTCTCTGCAAGTGTAGTTCAGCTCGTCTTTCTTCATCTTATCTACCGTTTATCATTAAAGAAAATCGATGACAATTATTTTACGCCGTATTAATTTAGTATAAATATTTTCATATTTTTTGGGAATTTTGTATCCATAAAATAGAAAATTCCGTATTGTGAATAACTTTAAGAACTGCAGATATATTTAGTGGTCCGATAAAAATTAAATTCTTCAAAGAGTGCGTTACTTTATCAGTAATTCCGATAAATGAAAATCTGTTGTACATTAAATATATTATTAAATGCAGTCCGTTAATCTCTGATAATTTTTCTTTTACAGACAAGGAGTAGGAGTAGTACTGCCCCGGTGGAAATAGATTTTTTTACAGAACCTGAGGTTGAATATAAAGGGAATATAAACGGTGGAGCTGATATTCCACAATTCCGAGGAGATACCAACGCAAATGTGGAATATCAGGATTTTCCGGAAGAGCAAGTTTGGAGCCCTCGAGAAGGAATCGACGAATGGTTCCCGCATTTCCTTTACGTTGGCCAGTCATGTTTAACATTCGCACAAGAACGTCAAGGCATTCCCGTATTAGAAGCTATGGTGAATGCATGCACCGATTACTCTCAACAGTACATCACGAACGTTCTCCATGATTCTGACTACGTACCGGCTGTCGCGTGGACGACGTTGTTGAGCAAAGAACTACCGGAAAAAATTTTCTCAAAATGGAAGCCGGAGGAAATTGTAAGTATCATTCATTATCCAGAAAAGTAGTTTAGAAAGATTGCCAAGATTCATTGTCATTTATATCGTGATTTATGTCGTGTTGCAGGATCGCTTCGTTGACGGGATACTCGAACATGGGAAAAACTTCATAACTATGCAAAAGAAATTATTTCCGCAGAAAGATGTGGTACGTTACTTCTCGCTTATATTACTTAAATATCATGTTAAAATTAAATGAAGTAATGTAATGTAATTGTTCATATGTTACAGAAAGACATCGTGGAATTTTTTTATGCATGGGAAATGACGAATACGGCGAGAAAATTGAGGAAACTTTGTCCCAAGGGCTGGCGATGCACGACCAAACGGCGTCGATCTAAAATCAAACAACTCCTACGATGTGAATCTGTAATCAAGCCCAAACAACGGCGTCGATCGGAAAGCGAACAGCGTCGAGTCAAGGCGAAAGAACATGTACGGGAAACCGTTGACCGTCAGGTTGAGAGCGAACAGCTAGAGACCGAACGGAATCAGTCGCAGACGAAATGCAAACGACGGCGTTGCACCAAAAGCGATCAACGTCAACTTGAAAGCGTACAGTTGGGGACCGAACAGCGTGAGTCTACGGCAGGACATCAACTCAAGACCAAGACCAAACGACGTATATCGTCGACAAGTCTGAATGGCCCATCGATCTCTCGAGTCGTCACCCGAAGCATGGCCAATGCTTTGGCACTTTATTCAGGGAGTGACAAACAATCCCCGACGCAGTGCATCATATGATATGTATTAATGTGATCGTGAAGAGAAAACGTTCTCCTGTAACAATTATAGGATATGCAATGAGTGATGAAAAAATATTTGACGTATTTCAGTCTTCATTATTGAAGACTTGAATATAATTTATGGTGATGTGATATGAATGACGAATGATGTGATGAATGAAATGTTATATAGTGGTTATTGTTTGTATATGTATTATAATTAATTTTTAAGAATTTAATAGTTTAA